GAGGGGCCAGCATTAGCTCTTTTCCTTACTTTGGCTCTTCATTCAGTTTTGATACTCACAATACTGAGTATCTCCCTTGCCCTTTAGGTCAGGCTGCCAGATGGGACCTCACTGACCCAGACGTTCCGGGCCCGGGAGCAGCTGGCAGCCGTGAGGCTCTATGTGGAGCTCCACCGTGGAGAGGAACCAGGAGGGGGCCAGGACCCTGTGCAGTTGCTCAGTGGCTTCCCCAGACGGGCCTTCTCAGAAGCTGACATGGAGCGGCCTTTGCAGGAGCTGGGTATGGCTGCAAGACCAGAAACTGGGACTTAGGGGAGTAGGGAGACATGCCTGGGAAAAGGAGGGAGGCAAAGAGAAGGGACTTTGTGCACATGGTGCAAGATCAGGAATTTTGGGAGCAAAAGGCAAGTATTCTTGTGTTTCAAGCCTGTATTCTTCCATCTTCAGGACTTGTGCCTTCTGCTGTCCTCATTGTGGCCAAGAAATGTCCCAGCTGAGGGCCTGTCTCATCGTCCCTCTGTGACCGCTTCATCTTTGGTAAAGCACTGACATCTCCTTCCTAATAAATAGACCCTGAGTTCTGTACATGCCTGACTCATTACTGAATGGCTGGGAGGGACAAAACGAAGGCAGAGGAAGAAGCTAAAAGGGAACAATGTGTAGTAGACCCTCTTCCTCATCTTTAGCTTCCAACAAAGACACTTGTTTTTTTTGTTTTTTTGAGATGAAGTCTCGCTCTGTCGCCCAGGCTGGATTGCAGTGGCGACATCTTGGCTCACTGCAACCTCTGCCTCCCGAATAGCTGGGATTACAGGCGGACGCCACCACACCCAGCTAATTTTTGTATCTTCAATAGAGACAGGGTTTCACCATGGTCAGGCTGGTCTCAAACTCCTGACCTCGTGATCCACCCACCTTGGCCTCCCAAAGTGCTGGGATTACAGGCATGAGCCACCACGCCTGGCCAAGACACTTGTTTCTAATCTCTGGGTCTGATTAACTGCTGGGGAAGTTGAGGAGAAGTGCTAAAAGGGGTGGAAAGTACATTGGATGGCACCTTTTACTCCTGTGGTAAGACAGAACATAAAGGCCCAGCTGCTGCTGCTGCTTTTTTTTTTTTTTTTTTTTTGAGACAGAGTTTCACCCCTGTTGCCCAGGTTGGAGTACAATAACACGATCTTGGCTCACTGCAACCTCTGCCTCCCAGGTTCAAGTGAGTCTCCTGCCTAGGCTTCCAAAGTAGCTGGGATTACAGGTGCCCGCCACCACGCCTGGCAAATTTTGTATTTTTAGTAGAAATGGGTTTCTCCATTTTGGTCAGGGTGGTCTCAAACTCCCTACCTCAGGTGATCCGGCCTCCCAAAGTGCTGGGATTACAGGTGTGAGCCACTGTGCCCTGAATGCTTTTTTTTCTTTTTTTTTGAGGCGAACAGGGGAGTGCCTTTTCATTTAAAAAATGTTTGGAGGCCAGGCATGGTGGCTCATGCCTGTAATCCCGGGACTTTGGGAGGCCGAGGTGGGCGGATCACAAGGTTGTGAGTTAGAGACCAGCTTGACAACATGGTAAAACCCCATCTCTACTAAAAATACAAAAATGAGCTGGGTGTGGTGGCGCATGCCTGTAATCCCAGCTACTTGACAGACTGAAGCAGGAGAATTACTTGAACCCGGGAGGCAGAGGCTGCAGTGAGCTGAGATCATGCCACTGCACTCCAGCCTGGACAACAGAGTGAGACCCTGTCTCAAAAAAATGTTTGGAAATATGTATAACTTTGATACAGTTTCCAGGTGCTCCAGACACCCGGGGCCGCTTCATGTAAACCACTGACAATTTCTAGAGCACTTTGAAAGACAACAATATGATCATTATCAAATTTTTTAATTAAACCTAGTGAGGGCAACAGACACTTCTCAAATAAGAGATGTGTCAATTATGGGGCTCCCCTACTCTAAGGTATTCATGAGGAGACAAACAGTTTTTTTTTTTCTTTTGAGACGGTGTTTCACTCTTGTTGCCTAGGCTGGAGTGCAATGTCACAGTCTTAGCTTACGGCAACCACTGCCTCCCGGGGTCAAGTGATTCTCCTGTTTCCGCCTCCTGAATAGTTGCAATTACAGTCATGCACCACCATGCCCGGCTAATTTTGTATTTTTTTTTCTTTTAGTAGAGATGGGGTTTCTCCATGTTGGTCAGTCTAGTCTTGAACTGTCGACCTCAGGTGATTCACCTGCCTCAGCCTCCCAAAGTGCTGGGATTACAGGCATGAGCCACTGAGCCTGGCCAGATAAAGTTTCTTTATGTATTCTCCTCTCTCCTCTTCATCTTCCACCTTTTTCCAGGAAACTTTAGCAGGACCTTTTGCCCCATCAAACTTTCCTTTCAACTTAAAGTCAGCAACATCCTTCTCATACTTTTCCTTCGGGTTTGCCACCTTAAGTGATGTAAGGCTGCTTTTCACTGTGATTTAAGTTATTCCACATCTCACCCAGAAAAGCCCAGCTTCTTAATAGAATAGGGATAACAGTGCCTGTTTCTTGGGATTGTCATAAAGGTTACATAATGGTGTAAGATGCTTTAGCATAGTGCCTGGTACCTAGTAAGTATCAGCTACTAAAAGGATAATTCTGTTTATTTATTTGAGATGGAGTCTTGCTCTGCTTCCTAGGCTGTAGTGCAGTGGTATGATCTCGGCTCACTGCAACCTCTGCCTCCTGGGTTCAAGCGATTCTACTGCCTCAGCCTCCCTCGTAGCTGGGATTATGGGCATGTGCCACCACATGTGGCTAATTTTTTGTATTTTTAATTTTTTTTTAGTAGAGACGGGGTTTCTCCATGTTGGTCAGGCTGGTCTCGAACTCCCGACCTTAGGTGATCTGCCTGCCTTGGCCTCCCATAGTGCTGGGATTACAGGTGTGAGCCACTACAGCCAGCTGTTCTTTCTCCTTTTTAAAACCAAGAAGCACTGATGAGCTTCTCCATGATAGCCCCTCTGGCTGTTGATACCCCAACCTGGTATCCTGTCAAACTGCTGCTGACCCCTCTCATTCCTTGGCTAGGGAAGAGGCTATAGTTAATCTGTAAAGATCACACATAACACATGTGTTTTAATAGCTGAAAAGAGCACCAGTGCTCATCTAGGTTTTGTTTTTTTTGTTGTTTTTTTTTTTTGAGATGGAGTTTCGCTCGTTACCCAGGCTGGGGTGCAATGGCGCAATCTCCGCTCACCGCAACCTCCGCCTCCTGGGTTCAGGCAATTCTCCTGCCTCAGCCTCCTGAGTAGCTGGGATTACAGGCACGCACCACCATGCCCAGCTAATGTTTTGTATTTTTAGTAGAGACGGGGTTTCACCATGTTGACCAGGATGGTCTCGATCTCTTGACCTCGTGATCCACCCGCCTCGGCCTCCCAAAGTGCTGGGATTACAGTCATCTAGGTTTTACATCCCAGTGTTAGCATTATTTGGGGCCAGGCAGGCAGATAACCTGAAGTCAGGAGTTCGAGACCAACCTGCCCAACATGGCAAAACCCATCTCTGCTAAAAATACAAAAAAATCTGACGGGCCGGGCGCGGTGGCTCAGTCCTGTAATCCCAGCACTTTGGGAGGCCGAGGCGGGTGGATCACGAGGTCAACAGATCGAGACCATCCTGGTCAACATGGTGAAACCCCGTCTCTACTAAAAATACAAAAAATTAGCTGGGCATGGTAGCACGTGCCTGTAATCCCAGCGACTCAGGAGGCTGAGGCAGGAGAATTGCTGAACCCAGGAGGCGGAGGTTGCGGTGAGCCGAGATCGTGCCATTGCACTCCAGCCTGGGTAACAAGAGCAAAACTCTGTCTCAAAAAAAAAAAAAAAAAAAATCTGACGTAGTGGCACACCCCTGTAGTCCCAGCTCCTGGGGAGGCTGAGGCAGGAGAATCACTTGAACCCGGGAGGCTAAGGTTGCAGTGTTGAGATCATGCCATTGCACTGCAGCCTGGGCGACAAGGGTGAAACTCTGTCTCAAAAACCAACCAACCAACCAGCTTTATTTGGTGTTCTGACTTTAATAACAGCTGCCTTTTCTTTTCAGTTGCAATCTTGCTTGGGAACCACAGAATAAAAAGCAGACAAAAGAGGAGCGACTTGGTTGACTAGGCTGTGGAGCTGGGACCCCACAGCTTTATTTCATCCCCTCAGTGGCATCTCCTGACCAGATTCAGAGATTGGAGACCACTTTACATTTCTAAATTGTTTACAATAATCCTTGTAGTTATGACACTTCATAGAACAGGACTGAGGTTTATTACATACTGGAGTTGAACCAAGATCTGTGACTCAAAGCACACTCCTTTTACTACTAGTAAGTAAGCCTTCTAAGCTTGTTTAGCTAGAGGTTAGATAATGGCCACAGAAAGCATTGTGGCATATGTTAAGTGCTAGATGCCCCTCCAGTCTCACTCCAAAGACAGGAGTCCTGAGTGTCCTCTATAAGCTTCCACTGCTACAAGATTTTCCAGGATAGTTCAGATTTCAAGAATGTCCCACTGTTACCCCCTGAAGTACACTCCAAACTGACACCCCATGACCTGTTTTGAAAATGTGGTCGAGACAGGTTGAAGTGGCTCCCACCTGTAATCTCACCACTTAGGGAGGCTGAGGCGGGCGGATCACCTGAAGTCTGGAGTTCGAGACCAGGCTGGCCAACGTGGTGAAACCCTGTCTCTACTAAAAACAAAAATTAGCTGGGCGTGGTAGTGTGCGCCTGTAATCTCAGGTATTCGGGAGGCTGAGACACGAGAATTGTGTGAACCTGGGAGGCGGAGGTTGCAGTGAGCTGAGATCGGGCCACTGCACACCAGCCTAGGTGACAGTGAGACTCCATCTCAAATAGAAAAGAAAATGTGGTCACTATATTGGGTCAGCCTCTCCTGGTAGGGTGGGACAGACAGCAGCTGCAGCCCGAGCCCCTAGCACTGACCACGAGTGTCTCACATTAATAGGCGTCAACTGCAGGGCTCATGTGGATGGAGGAACGTGATTTATTGGTTCTTTCAGTTCACCATAACCGACTCGTGTCTCGGCCCTGTCCACCTTTGTGGACTTTTATTTTTTTTAATTAAAGACGGGTTTCACTATGTTGGTCAGAACTCAAAGAGGCTGGTCTTGAACTCAAAGTGCTTGGATTACAGGCGTGAGCCACCACGCCCGACCAGCCTTTGCGGACTTTAAAGCAATCAGTGCAGGGTTTGGGAGGAAGGTGCTCACCCGATGGCAGCTCACAGGACCCAAAAAAGTCCTGGGAATGGCATCTCGGTCCGGACTCCCCGCTGGGCCCACGAAGAAGAAAGGCTGCCTCAGACTCCTGCGCCCTAGCCAAGGTCCCAGCGCCCACTGGGGCAAGTCCAGTCTCACGCTGACTTCCCGCCTTTGCCGCCTTCGCCGCCGACTATCCAGTTCTTCCTCCAGGCCACGTTCTCCTGCGTGGTCGCTGCTTCCTTCAGAACGTCCATCACTAGCTGCGTGGTCCTGGCCATCTCGTCCCTGCTCAGCGGGTCCTGCAGTGGCATCTCCTGGGGGCAGGAAGGGAGGTTCACAAGGAGTTCCAGTCCGGGGCTCTCCACCCGCCCACCCAACTTCGGGACTACCCGTTGCCTCTACCTTCAGCATCTCCTGCTTCCGCTGCCCTCTCGGGGTCACGATAACAAGGAGCGCGTAGCCCACGCCAGCCCCTGCGCCCAGCACTGCGACCGTCATCAGCATTTTCCTCAAGGACTGCATGGCCGCCTGCACAGCCAGCGGGGCGCACTCCGGAGTCCCCCGCAGCCGCGAGCTATCGCTGCGCCGTCTCTGTCCGTCTGCGCAGGATAGAGCGCCCGATAGCGGAAACCACAGAGAAGCGGCGGGCTAGAGAGGACCTGCTCAGCGGCGGGCTAGAGAGGACCTGCTCAGCGGCGGGCTAGAGAGGACCTGCTCAAGGAAACGTTTAGAATCCAGAGCGCCTGGGTGTCAGGTTTAGCTGAGGGCGTTGAGGATATGAAGAGGTGCTGACACCAAGGGCTGAGCGCGGGGACCTTGTGTCCTCAATTTCAGAGTAGGATTGCTAGGGGGAGAGTGCGTGTCTTCATGGTTGCGGTGGGTTTTATGATTGCCCACTTTTGTGTCTTCCGAAGTTTCCCAATCAGTAGAGGGCCGAGCTGTGCTCTGGTTTTCTGCAGTCACCCGCGCATTTTCAACACAGCGCGTGGAGGTTATCCACACACATACACACGTCAATCTATTATCTCCTCTCCATCCCCTCAACTCTGGAATAAACACTCAAAGTCAAGTGTACTGGTTGGAGAAACGGTATCTTTAAAATTTATTTTACAAACAACCTGTTCCTTTTCTCGTCATGGTACACACCTGGTATTGTTTGGGTTTTTTTTTTTTGGGAGGGGGAGGTCGTGGTTTTGTTTTGTTTTTTTTTTTTTT